CTCACACAAATCGAATGATTTATGCGACGCATATGTATTTAGTGCCATGGAAAACCTAGAAGTACTGGACGACCGTTCCGTCCTAGTATGGGACTCCTCAGCAGTGTGCATCCACGATAAGTCCTGGGTTCGAATCCCGCAAGCGGAAACATAGATCCACATTGCTAAACAGCCCCATAATAAACAAATCTCTAATAACTTAAATTCACTTTTATATCTATTGATTTTTGATAAATACAACATCATATCAGAATGGGTTTTGTGGAGAGTTTTGGAAATTTCACAGGTTGAAATCATGAGTCGATTGAAGCTAGACCACCATGGAAAACCTGGGAGCACTGGACGGCCGTTTCGTCCTAGTATGGGACTCCTCAGCAGTGCGCATCCACGATCCCGCACCACGCGTGGCTCGAACCCAGGACCTAATGGCTTCGCGCGCGAGCACTTAACCACTAGACCACTGAGCCGGCATCCAACGGTGTTAATGTCTAACTTCAACCAATCCACGAGGTTGCGCCACCGTACACCATTGTCTTCAGTGAGTTACTATCTCAAAACAGACCTGGTTGAACTCCACTGGTAACGGCCTTTCACTAGAACTCCAGAAGTGTCTCCTGAAGTCAGTCACTAGTGAGCAGTTGATTATTATCAAAATGGGTTTTGTGGAGAGTTTTAGAAATTTCACAGCATCATATTATTAGATTGTAATTTTCAATTTTATATATAACTTAAAAACGATTGCCAATACTACTTAAAATAACTAATTATTGTATTCCAATTTGGATGTAGGTATTTTGTTACCAGGAGAGAAAAAAACCACAAAAAAAGATATTTCTCCAAGGTCAATGATTATTTACAAATTGTATTATCATGAAATTAAAGTTCATTTACTGATCTGTTTTAAGTCAAAGGAGATTAGTTGAAGCAACAACAAAAAACAAAAATAAAACGCCTGTTTTCAACAGTATCTAACACTCCCTCCCACCACTTTTACATTAAAGAACACTATGTGAAGAAAATCACCTGTTTTGAACAATATCTAACACCCCCCCTCTCTTCCATCAGTTTTACACTAAACAACACTGTATGAGAGAAAAAAATAATGATGATGATGATCTACAATCACTACTCTATTTAATCATGAGTGGGTGTCTTATTATGAGAAACCAAAACAACAACAACAAAAATTCCATACAAAACAATTTTGGCCATAAATAAATAATAGAAGTGTACTTTTACTTGTAACTATTGAAAAATAAGTATAATACGTTATTACGTAATCATTAATACGTTCATTCATTAAGAAGATGAAAAGCGAATGTCGAACGCATTAATCGGGTTAATGGATACGGAGAGGCCACCTAGGGCAGTTGGAAAACCCTGATCCCAAACCAATGGTCCACATGGGATCCAATATCTTGAAGGAACAGATGAAGTACGAACCAATTGTTGGTCACTGGTTACCATGGGATTGCATCTCCTGACGTTGCTACACTGCTTTGTGGATCAGACCTTTAGGTCTTGGGGTGTGACCTTCTAAGATCACCTGGTTCGGTTTGGGCGCCCTTGAAGTATCCCAGCCCTTACACAAATCGAGTGATTTATGTAGCGCATATCTATTTGGTGCCTCCTTGTACTAATGTTTATGTGTTTAAATAAATAAATAATACTAGTTTCATCATGAGAGTTTGATAGTGATGTGAACAGAGAAACATAGAAATCATGATAAACAATGGAAATTACTTCATTAACATTCATTTCTGTCCTTAGCTTAATCTACAAATCATAAGCTTTCATTTGATGTATATTTCATTGCTATAATTTTTTTTGTCCAAATACTATTGTAATTTAAATGTAACCTTTTGTACTTTCTTCATTGCTTGTACGTTGTGGTCGTGTTGTTCATTTATTTACACTAATCTGAATCAGGAATAAATCGAGTAGTGTTCCAGTTGACTTGTTTTCTCTTTCGTCTGCGCTCTTGTCAACCTATCAGGTGATAGAATAGTTTTCATCTGTTTACCCAAGGTAGTTACTCTCACTTCAAACTCACATGTTTCTAGCCTCAAAGATGAACTAGTTAGCTTATTGTTTCAATGCCTTAATCGAGATTGAGACAAGTTATCTTCTGTATATTAGAGGGTAGACAGATCAAGGACGTAATAGACAGTATTATTAGACTCGAACAAGTATAATTTCATGACAACTATGTAAACCTTAATGTAACTTTGAACAGATCTGTTTACTCAATTTTGAGTTATCACTTGTTGATATGAATGGTAGTGGTTATATGCAGTTCATCAATTGAAACCTTACGTATGTTGGGTCAGGGTTTAAATCTACAATTGAATAGTTAAAAGTCATGTTACAAGTCGACATATTCGGATTTCTTTTTTTTTTCTAAATAAAAGAAACATCACTGAAGATAGTTAACTATGAGAAATAATCTTCTGCTTTTATTACCTTGAAATGACTTCAAGGACTGATGACACGTTTTGGTTTGGCTGGCCCTAACTTTCTTCTAACTGTCTCCAATACTAGTCAGAGTTGCGTGTCGTGGTAATCAGTGTTCAAGCATAATAAGTCTTTGATAATCTATTTTTCATAGAAGAAATTGGTGTTCTAAGAGAAGTTTTTAATGGTAATGATATGATGAAATCTTAATTTCGATAATGCAATGAGAAGACGAAGATTATCAGAACTATGTGATATATTGGCGCAATACATTTCGAACAATCTGATCACACATTACATACTTGTTAAGAGCATTTATATATAAAAAAAATAAAAGGTCAACTAGACAGGAAACGGGGTAAGAGGAGATAAGGATAATGATAAGAGTAATAATAATAACAATAATGTGAACATAAAGCGAAACCTAATGACTCTGGATAATAAGTCAATATTACCAGGGTAGGTTTAAGGTAAGAACAAACTGTTTTTGAACACACGAAGAGGGTTTGAATTGTCGTATGGCTAAGGCTTCAATAAACCTTAGTATACGCCCTTTTACACTTTTATACAGCACTACAAAAGCTGAATTTAGATCAATCTTGTGACCTGTTTCAATTATATGTTTATCAATAGAGGATGATGGATGTTTATCCTCTGCTCTTATTGGGTCACTTGATTGTATTTGTTTCTGAAGCCATTTGGGTACATGTTCACTCACTCCTCCCTATGTATGTGTGACCACACACACATTTAAATTGGTAAACACAGTGGGATGTGACGCAATCGTTTCCATGTACTTTAGGTTTTGAATGAAGCATGCACCTTATTCTTTCTTTGATGATGACCTTTACTGCGCAATAGGTTTTATTGATGACTGATTTAAGTCGTTGTTTCAATAAAAGGCTATTTGAATCACCTCTGAATGGTAAGGTGATGTAGACAGGCTTTTTCTCTACCGAGGCTACACTAGGTCTCGCTGTACCATGGACTTTCCATCTATTTATGAATTTCAGAGGATAGCCATTTTCTATTAACGTTTTATTTAACAACTTAACATCATCATCAATGGCGTCATTGGTACAAATACGGTCGAGTCTATTGAAAAGACACCTTATCAAACCACGTTTGTATTGCACAGGGCAATAACTATAATAACTAAGATATTGACCTGTCCACGTTGGTTTTCTAAAAATAGATCGCTTTACTGAACCATCTTCTCGTCTACTCAGGAGTATATCTAGGAAGGGAAGCTGATCGTTTTTCTCCTCTTCACATGAGAGACTAATATGGTTTTGGAGAGTGTTGAGTTTATTTAATAAACCGTACATATCCTCTTTCCTATCACAAACAACTAAGATATCGTCCACATATCTCTTATAAAGTGACATGTTTCCGATTAATTCATCAGTCTGATTTTCAACATGTGCCATGAACACATCTGCTAGTAATGGTCCTAGTGGACTACCCATAGCAACTCCATCAATCTGACGAAAGTATTCACCTTCAAAAGTGAACTGAACTTTGTCAGTACATAGTAATAGTAAATCTTTAAGAGGTTTTACAGGTACACGTGATTGAAAATTGTTTTCAGATATGTAATCACATAATATATCAATGGTTTTTTTTAAAGGTACATTTGTAACACAGGGAATTTACATCAAATGAACACATTGTCTTTTCCTTGATATTAATATCATCTAAATGATCAACCAGTTCAAAAGAATCCTTTAGAGAATACTTACATAGATGTCTTCGAATATCATTATCGAAATTTATCAAAGGGACTAATTGTTTTAGAAATCTTAATTGTTAAGATTAATGAATCGAATAGTAATTGATGAAAGACCATACAATGACTAAATGATGGATATTCACGAGACTGTATTTTTAATGTATAATCATACAATAGAATAAGTGGAAGTCGAAGACAAGATCACTTGACAGATGAATAGAATCTTTTATATAAGAAAATAATAGGTTTATTTAATAGAATATGAATATACAATGAACATGATGATATTGTCATAGGTGGTTAAAGAAAATCAGATCACATTCTCCAGTATAAATTAGAATTCAATTTGAAGCACAGTTAGATGGTAGCTAATAGAAGAATCCAAGACGCGTATTTCGGCCTATTTGGAACTCGTCATCTGGATGCACCTGAATCTTAGAATGAATATTCACTCTGAGACCCAAGGCAATATCGAGGTAATCCGCTCAGGTTGCATATATATCAAAGGAAACTATGAATTTCGAAGCGAAAGGTACTGGATTCGAGTTCAGGAGTAAATATGAACTTTGGAATGCAGGGACAAGTTCCAAATAGAACGAAAGACAATCATTCTTGATTCTACTGCTAGCCTTCATCCATTTCTCCTTAAAACTCTTGTGACTTACTGGCAATATTGAGACAATCCACACAGGATACACATATGCCAATAAGAGATTGATCCATTGAAATTCTAAACATTAATGGAAGGATACAAACAACCAATACAAAAACGAATTTCTTTCTGTTAGAATAATGAAAACCAGGACTGGAATGTTTACTTCTTACTTTTATGTTTATGTTTATGTTTAGAATGTTTTTTGTGTTTTTTTAACTTTTTATGCACCGGAGAAACAACATCATTATCATGATGAAAACTTTTGTTCATCTCTGAACTAGAAGTCCTATGTTTAGATGATGATGATAATGATGGTGATATTGCTGATGATGATGGTGATAATGCTGATGATGATTGTCTTCTATCATTCCATTTGGATGATTGATGATGTGTATGCTTTAAAGTTGATTTGGATGTATTTCTATAAGTTTCTTTGTATCGTCGAGTTGTTGATGATGACGATGGAGAATTCGAAGGAGAATAGTGTTGTATTCGTGAAGTATCCGGTGTTTTATATTTATGTGAATAGTGACTTCTTTTATGAACATTTTCAGTTTGATTTGAAAGTGATTCTACACTACTACAATCAAGAAAATTATGAGGAAAAATGGACAAACTGTAAAGGAAATTTGTGTAAAACATAAACTCAGATTCAATCATTCTTACAAACACTCTGTACTAACAGTAATGATTGTACAATCACCACCAGAAACCAATTTTAAATGGTACTTTTTAAAGTTCTAACGAGAAATTATGACTAGTGAAAAGTTCAACAATATTGAGTATGACGCAATTACTAACTCTAATAGTTGTGAATTATCAGGAATTGAAGTTAGATATATATAAACTACTGAATACTTGATAAGTCTTGCAGATTGAACGCTATATTTGTTTCCTAAGCTATTCTGTAACCCCTAAGCTAGAACTATACAGCGACCTGAACACAAGAGAGAAGACTCAAAGTATGCGAGAAATACTTTACTCCAAGTTTCATTTTTGTACAGAAAAACACGGGTATTTATAGATATTAACATTTGTTAGATCAGCATCATATTTTGGCCAATCTGCTAAAAGGTATATTATACTACTGACCAATTGTAGCACGCCAAGTTGACATTCTAGAAAGCACCATCATGCTCTGATTGGCTAGGACTCTTCGGCTCCTTTAGGGCCCCTGGAGGCTCCGTTGCAGTTCTCGGAAAGCCGACTCAACAATACTAGCTCAATCGTTTAAAGATCTGAAAGCCTTAAGTTCTATTCACAGTGAGGCTATTGGTGCATTTTTGAGGAATACCATAATAAAACTATTCATACAGTGAAGGCTGAGATTACTTTCTAGACTTAATAGACAAGGCTAGGCGAGAAACTACTATACAGAGGAGTAATAAGGACTGAAAGTTGACTCTAGGCTGTTGGTAATGGTTAACGCGTCATTGGTTTGGCACAGCGCCAAGGTCACACAAGACAGTATTCTAATTGGCGATTCAGTCACGTGATATATGACGAAATTTAGGACGTAACAATCAGATAACTAGATTGACATGTTTATGTATTCCGTTCAATATAAGCTTTTAGTTGACTCATTAACTACTGTTATACAGTTCACTATTCCTAAATTGTTGCCCATCTGAAATTTAGTCTCCTCTATTCACAAACCCTTTGGTTTGTTCATAAAAAAATTGTTATTATTCTTCTACGGTGTGATGCGGTGTGGTGCGGTGTGGTATGTGTACATATAAGCCACATTTATATGGAAGATAAACATACAGTAGAGGCTGGTTGATGACTTTTGGACTCGAGGGAGGGTATAGAGTGAAGCTCGCAAAGTACGGGCCAATAAGAACTTAACTGTGTTGGTTCAAGGTTAACAGCGCTAGTCGCGCAAGTAACTGGCCAAGTCAAAGATATTAGGGTATAGAGGAAATAATTGATAAATTAGAAGTAGGATTTTCAGTTAGCATGTGATATTGATCAAGGGGTCAAAAGGAACAACGATAAGGCATTTATAACTCATGACATAGCTATTCAATCTGAAACATTTCAGGAAAAAGATTCAAGTCAACTAAGATACATGTCCCTATCTGGGTCAACGCGATCACCTATAATTACTCATAAGTTATATCAGTATTCCACTTTGATAGTATACACCTTCTTACGTATTCTTTAGTAATAGTAGCTAAACTGTATTGCAGATCATAACATAAGTGACATAAACGTAAATATCAATAACAAAATAACATATAAACTAACAGTTGGTCAATATTTTGAGTGAGAGATCACAACAGAAGTTGAAAAACCAATTCCTACGCTTCTCACACGAAACAAGTGGAGACTTTTCCAATGGCAAGCTTCAAATAACCACATTAAAACATGTACAAGTATACATCACGTAGTAATTAGGAATCCATATATATAAATATTCATTTCAAATCATAAAAATAAGGTAATAACAGTAGAAATGATAATAATAATAATACCTCTATAACTCACTTAGATCTTCTATCTTGAAACTGTTGTTCTGACAATTCTTGACTGGCTGTCAACATTTCAGTGTGTTGTGCTATAATTTCACGTAATACCTGAGAAAGAGAGATCAAGGGAAAGAATAACTAGTGTTGACCGAAATTTACAAAAATATCTCAAACTACTCATATGTATTGAAAGTAGTATACATTTACAATACATACTAGTAAGTTCTCTAGTTTACTGACTTTTAAAGGTTTAAGTATTTATAAATAGTTGTCTACGCAAGATACTTAATATCCATTGGCCGGATATCATCAGCAACAGCCTTCTGTGGAAGAGAACAAACCACCTTCCAACTGAAGAGGAAATTAGGAAAAGACGATGGTAGTGAATAGGACATACATTATAGAAATCATCCAACTGGATCACGAGGCAAGTCCTAACTTGGAATCTTGAAGGGAAGTGGGAAAGAGGAAGGCCAAAGAACACATTAAGTCGGGAATTGGAAGCAAACATGAAAAATATATATAACAACTGGAAAGAGCCGGACATGACTGGATTGAGAGGGATGGTGTTGGGTCTACGCTTCTCCACGAGGAGTAGCAGGCGTAAGTATTTTTGATTTAATTTTCTGTATGATCGCTTTTTTTCCCATTGATTGCCATTCCTTTCAGTTTGCCGAATTTTTGTATGCTTGTAGGTTATGTTTTGATTATTACATATACAGGTTAGTACTGATTCGCTTTGTCTTATTTGTTTTACTTCAAATATTGAGTTTTTCTACGATCCGTCTTATCCCTAGATTAGTTGTCAACTGTTGTGTCCCAGTAGAACCGCTTACCTTATAGTAGCTTAGTCACTCCTGATTCCGTTGGGATTGTAGGCCGATAATGAGCCCCAAATATCAGGATTTAAAAGACACTGATATTCATATGGAGGGGTAATGACCTAATTGATTGAATTGAAATGAACATATGAAATTGATCGTTTGTGATACATAATCACATCTTAAGGAGAAGTAATTATATGACTTAGTCAATCAGTTATATGTATTGGTTGTAAGATGCCTAATTGTATGATATTGTCAATATGTGATCCACACAGTAAATTACTGATTAGTTAGTGTCAAGTACTACTTAGATTGACCAATACGAATCTGACGGTCAATCTAACTGTAAATGAATCTTATAGGAAGTGGTGTGTTTCTACATCATTCTGGTTTATTCCCGAGGTCAAGTGAGTCTTTATCTAAAGTTGTCGGGTTATTTTTTTGACTTGCATCGTCCGATTCTCAGGTTTCCTGGTATCAAGTCGGATAAGCATTTCCGAAAACACAACAGATATATACGTTTACTATCTACATGCCCAACTGTTAAGAAGAGATTAGATTATTTAGTTTTTTTGTTACTAAAGGAAACTTGCTACTATCCAATTGAGTGTTATCATTTATAACTTGTTACGTATCCAACGGTCACTGGATTGCATTATATAAACAGAGTTGTTTCATTTCAGTTTTTCAACTTCTACTAAGAATACAAAGCTATTTTAAAAGTACCATCTTCTTATTGTCGGTCAGAACAAAACATGGCACAATTACATGAAGTCACTGACAAGTGAACTGAGTCATGTTGGTAGGTGTAGACTACCTGGTTGGGGACCGCGAGATGATAGCAAGCGGTGGTTAGAGACTCTGAATGACATGGCTCAAAATCGTTTGCAATGACGTAGGTGCATCCAATCTTTGTGTTCTCCCAAATTCTAATCTTCTGAATTCTTCATGTCCCTTTTTTCCTCTTTCCAAATTTATTTCACTGGATTATACTCTTTAAATAACATCTCCAAACCCTAATCTTCCCGATTACTGCTTATACTCTTATTACCTCTACCACTACGGGATTTGAATCGACCACTGCATCTCTGTGCTAATGTGGTGTGGCAACTCGAACTGATGTATGTACGTACGAAGTTCTACGTTGTTACTGACTAACTGACTGATTGACGTGTGGATTAATAATATTGAAGTGTTGTTGTGTGTCAGTTGTCGTCCTATCAAGTTCAATGGTTCTGTATTTAGCAATTATTGTAGACCATTGACGAACCCAATCTCAAGATATAACATCACCAAGCTACTTGAATGAGAAAACCAAAAACAGAGTAAGAAGCTTTTATTAGCAAACTGAGTTAACTATATGAACAACTCATTTATAAATATAGACACATGACCCTCTGAAGATTAAGTCAAATCTTGACCAACAGCATGCATTCATCAGCAATCTCTCACTTATCATTTGGTCTTCGATTAATATATCTGATTGGGTCAGCATATCAAGATATATATTTGTTATTCATTGTTTCTCTTTTGGATTTCGAGTTTCAGTATTACGCCACCAATTCACAGTTCACAATTCACTCCCTATTTTCTGACCTTTTCACTATTATAGCTAATGCTTTAATGTCAATGACTTTTATATAGTCAATGTCTTTGTCCTCTTGTGATGTGAAGTAACGAAAGCTTGGACTAATACGAGTTTGTGACAAGTTGTATAGAAGCTTACCATTTACTGTGTAAAAGTGCATCCCATACTATCTATCAAATGATGAACTCATGAAATCGTTGTCGAGTTTTTTATATAAACTACCATGATTATTTATTTATTTAAACAGATAAATATTGATTTGTGTGAGGGCTGGAATACTGTCCGGGCACCCAAACCAAAGCACACGGTTATATTAGCGAACCACCATTCGAGCCTTTGACCTACAGTTCTAATCCACAAGGCAGTGGAGAAACGTCAGGAGATGCAGTCCCATGGCAGCCGAGTTATCAATAATACACCATTTGTTCCCTCAGGATCCTGGAGCCCATGTGCACCATCGGTTTTTAATCAGGGTTTTCCAACTGCCTTGGGCAGACTCTCCGTATCCATTAACCCGGTTAAGGCACCAGAAATTCGCTTTTTGTTATCCCAGTTTCGTAGAGAACACACTTTTCTTGAGAAGACAGTGAATAGGACTTCCCTGATAGTGGTTGTATACACGTGTCCATATGAAAGCAATTGGAGAGGGTGAGCGAACTTTCCTCACCCTCAATCGTACCAGGGCATTTGGTGGTACCTTGAATTCATTTACACTGAAGATAATTGTTAGAATGCTATTAAGAATTTTCAATCAAGACAGGTAGAACAACTCAAGAAACATTTCCATCAGCATATATATATATATAATTAACAATTCACATACTTCAGTATAAGATTTTCTTGCAGTATGTATTCCTCTATAGCTTTGACGACGTCGTTTTGCATCTCTCATCATAGATAAAACTTCTAATTTAGATACATCTTGTGATGAATTATTAGCTATAAGTTATTGAAAACGAAACAATATTAGAATCAAGAAACAAATAAGTAGTAAGCCAATTATGTTTATCTGTAAATGTTTACCATCACTCTTACATTGACAACATACGCCATAGAGTATCAGTTCCCTCAGAATTATAGGTACACCATACTAATGGGTATCAGATAGTATGAAACCTAAGCCAAGAAAGGGGTTTCCTGTCGACTACATTCAACCATCAACTAATATTCCTTTTTATCACCATATGCTTCTCTAAATCATAAACGGATAAGTAAAATACACAAAGAACCGTCGTGGTACTTCTTGAGTAATATGATACACTATAGATTGCAAAGATTTTATGGTGTATAAAAACTGGCACTTAGCAGATAACTTCTGGGTTAAAACAAATTATAAACAAAGAAAAGTTGTGTTAATGAATGCACGTCTGCCAAAAAAAATAATGGTCAGGAAGCTTGTGTAGATAGCTAACTAATAGATTGAATTATTGTCCCCAAAAACTATATTATAATTTGTCATTATTTTGTAGGAGTCTAAGATACCTAGTTCTCAGGAATTTGGTGGTTGGAGCAGTGTTTGAATGTGTAATTCACTGTTTGAAAACTTATAACCCCGGTTCAATGATTGTCACCACTGTGGAGATTGTTGAGTTTCATTAAGATCATAAAATGATCAATGTTAGACCACCATTGAAATTCTGGAAGCATTGGATATCCATTGAGTACTAAAATGGGACTTCTCAACAGTGCATCCACAACCCCGCACGCAGAAATCGTATCCAGGAACTTTGGTCTCCTGCATTGAACGCTTAACATCTAGACCACTGAGTGGGGATCCAACTGTATTAATACCTAACTTTAATCAGTTCATACTAGAACGAAAAGGTCGTTCAGTGCTTTCAGGTTTTCAATAGTGGTTTAATATTGATCGGTTCAGGATTCTAATATTCCATAAACAAAAATAAACAGTATCGGAGTTCTAACTACTTGTTGTCTAATTAACACTTAACAAACTACAGACATTTGCCATACTTTTTATGAAATAATCCAACTTCACCTGAAGCTTTCTAGGCGTTACTGCAGATATCAAGCCTGCATAAAGAAGGGCTTAATTAAGTGATTATGAAATAACCTATATAGAACTAAGGAATACTTCAATTTACAGAGATTATTGTAGCTAATAGGTTGATATTTGATTACGTGATAGGCTTCGAGTCACATTTTTCATTAGGTAAAAGGTTGATGATACATATCGGTTGGGCACAAACAAAACAACGTGACGTAACATATTGGAGTTGTTGTATTCTGTAAAGTATGTTATATCATGTTTCCTAAGGTACGTGAATTTTAATCATGACCATTTTCAATATTGAAGTAATTTCTATAAATCATATAAGTCAATCACGTATCTTAAATTGCTCGAATGTACAAAATAGAGAACAACAACATTAAAATTCTTCAAGTTAACTCTTAACATACTCATTTTGAGTTAAGTAGTATAATTATTGTTAATCACAAATAATAATCCGCCTTACATGACCGATGAGATTTATCTGTGGAAAATGCCTGCATATTCATAATCCAAGATGGATCATTTGTCCAATCAGATGTAGGTTGAGTACATTCAGCCGTACATATACTAGAATTGGGTATCATGACATCCTGTAGGAAGAAAAAAGTTTTGAAAATATAGGCAGGTGATCGTTAATAAGTGACAATTACCTATAATAACCTTTCCTCGCTATCTCTACCTTATTGTCAAGACTAGAAACATAGGAAAACTATAAGGTGTATCGTAATCACTGTTCCTGAAGTCAAAGTCACATAATATAGTATAAACAAGTAAGTTATGTACGATTGCTGAGACGGTTATAAAATTGAATTACAAGTAAACGTACCAACTATCCCTTAACATGATATACTGGCTGTGTTTACGCATTTTAGTTTCAAATGCCTCATACTCTTTGTGTTTTGTCAAAAATCGTAAGGTTGCTCTCTGAAATCAGTCTTTGTACGTGATGTTTAATTTAGTTATTTCCGAAACTATATGTCTTGGTTAAACTTGTTGCTTTGAAAGTTGACACCTTGATACAAACAAGACAATTATCAGGTGAAACTGACCCCAAGAAAACAGACAGCTGATGTTTACAGTACTTTAGAGGACCACGTGAAATGTCCTAGAGAATTATAGAAAATTCGTCTTCAGATGTGAGTAGAAAGGTACGTTCCGTATCAACTTATCCGAATACTCGGCTTTATTAAGGTGTTTTATATAACAGAGTCCATATAGGTTCCTATTTCTGCTGGTCTAAAAAATTTGATCAGAGTAAAAATAAACCATATTGATAAGTGATATAGTTTGGTTATCTCCATTTAAATTCCATCTGATTTTAACCGGGATATACTAGATTATAAGCTGTTACCGATTGAATAACTACAGTGGGGTTTGTTCGATAGATACTGTGATATAGAAAGGCGTAGTCAGTCTACGATATGGAGTTGCTAAGTGAGTATTTGTACCGGTTAACGGCTACCGGGCTATCATAAATGCTCCAACAGTTTGAAAGTTTGTCAGGTTGAAGTTAATGGAAATTGTAATGAGGTATTCTGAGTAAGTAATCAATAAATTTTTTCCCAGGAATAAAACCAACCATGGCGGTTTGAAGTGGATACTTTGATACATAATATCCTTGGTTTTCGTCTATCTATTTACATGGTTGTTCATTATCTATTGTTTAATTTTTCGCAAAACTGTCACTTAGTCTTGTACGGAGTGTTCCTTGGTGCCTGATTGTACCAAATATTTGTGTCACAAACAAATACAAGTTTCGGTTCGGGAAAATTACCATCCATTAGAGACGAAGCATGTGCCCCCGAATTCCCTGGTATGGTCGAGGGTGGGAAGAATAAGCTCTTCCTCTTGAAATGCTCTCACATGGCCACGCATGTACAGCTACTGTCAGGAAAGTCCTACTCACTCCTTGTACCGATGTTTATGTGTTTAAATAAATAAATAATAGATAAATTAAAGGTGTCGACAACTGGTTCTTGTAAGAGCTAAGTTATAAACGCGTGGTAACAAGACTGTAAATACATTTTGTTAGTGAGTGCAGAAAAGCATAAAAATTCACGTCCCACATTTTTTCTCTTGGCTTGTAGTACATAAATGTTAACGAAAGCCACTTACTATCTCTTCCTTAACGAAACCTTGTTCACGTAATGAGCAATAATTATTGTGTGTTGTGAGAGACTTTACAGGAACCCAATGATTCCGTGAGTAGGAGCATCTCCCATATTCGACTGGCTAAACATAAAAGAAACCATGTAAAATTCATTTGGATTGGTCGTTCAAATACGACAAACTACTATATAGTTTATTTATTCTGAGAACAGGCTACTGATGTTTTGCGAAAATAAGCACAATTGGATACCAATAATCCTACAGTAGCTATTTCGTTTATTAACGCCTTTATTTCTGAACTGGATATTTTTCAAGGCTTTAAGAGTCATATTTAAACCTTAAGCATGTTATTATTCTTTAAGACGGTAAAGATATCGTTAAAACCTGAGTTTCCTATACAGCACTGTGAAATACTCATAATCCAGGTCATTGAATGTATTGCTAAGCCTGATTGTGTATTTATCAAAACTTCGCGCAAACACTTGTTTTTAAGCATATCTTGATGAACAGTCCGAAATTCAAGATGGTGAAAATTATTTTTGCTTTATTGTACGAGTAGGAAGGATAATTACAAGCTATGTATCTCAATAACTTGCATTTAAAGTCATACAACGCATCAACAACTGGATCTGTAGCGCTGCGGATTGTAAGCTGGGAGTGACGTGTCAGTAAATTTCATTGTAAGAAAAGAATTATGTCTTAGAAACTTCCCATTCATTCAAAACCAACTAGGAAGACTTGAGTCAGGTCTGTTCTGAAAATCTTTGCAAATGGTACATACCAAACACGGAACATTGGAAAAATTTTCATCTAAAATGCTAGCTCAGTCATTAAGGTTATTATATTTGAAAAGAGAAAGCACTGAGTATAGCAAAAAAAGCTAAACACCAAATTAGAATAAAAGCGAGAAAACAAAAAAGATATATTTAAAATCTGTAACGGAGTTAGTGGATAGGTTTGTACTACTTTGTTCAATTCTAAGTAAAGATATTTCACCTTGGAATGCCAAATTTACTTATATTAAAAAGAATTCAAAAATCGCTTATATCGATAGAAAGAGGGACTAAATGCTTCCGGAATAAATACTGTCTCTTAACATATGTTGCCATTTTTACTCGCACTTTGTGGGGTAATTTCTAGATTTCAGACGCACAAAAAATGGTCAGTCTACTTCCAATGATGTAAGTTTAAATTTATATCCGTTATTTGTTCTTCCAACTAACTGACGTTAACGATCTCGACAAATTTTATGGGAAGCTGGTTTGAACACGTTAAAGAAGAAACCCACAGAACTGCACTCATAAATATGTGCTTTTCACAAAAGGAGGAAGTTACATTAGAAATCTTCAGAATAAATGATAATGAATACTAATATTGTGTAAATGTACAGGTGACTTGGAATGAGTACTCACATGCGAAAGAAACTCATGAGTCCATCCGAAATCTGCGACAAGCTCATTTAGTATTTCTTGTGACTCATCAACCAGCATATTCAAGATACACAACAAACTATGAGCATTTTGTTCAAGGCCATCAGTTAATATGAGCGCTAATCTGTCTTTACAGATTAGCTCGCATAAACCTATTGATTTCTTTGAACTTGATTCTTCATGTTACGGTACGATTCTAGATCTTCGCTATCCTCTGTTTTTTGTGGTAAAGCTACTTAGCTACATTGATACTGATGAATTGTGACCTAATATTTCTTGATTATGAACGAGTGTATTTATTCTAGGGCTTCTAAATTACTAGGACCAGCAATTATCACATTACCAGGTTGGAGTTTGGTTTGTTTCAGAATGAAACGCTTCAAAAGTAGAAAGCTGTGGATAGAAAACAAGATAAATGTCCGGATAAGTAAGTTAAGGTGCGCTAATTAAAAGGACAGTGGTAAATTCTATTGTTCAGTCTTCAGTAATAAGGATAGTAGGTTGGTGAACCTGTATTAATCCTGACACATTGCTTTCCAGCGATGGTCCAGCTTCTCCTTAAAAGTATTCACTGGTGGGGCTGATACCACTTGTTTGGGTAAACCGTTCCAATCATTGGCTACTCGATGAGAAAAACGGGACCCCACTTTAAGTTTATTAGATCGTGGTTTATGAACCTTCTTGCTATGACCTCGGAGATTATTAGTGCTGGAGGGAGCAAAAAGATAAGACATATTAACACCAAAATCATAATTAAAGATACGAAATGCCAGTATTAGGTCACCTCGTGTCCTACGATACGACAAGGGGAAAAGGTTTATGCGTTTTAAACGCTCATCGTAAGGGAGTCTAGAAAGACCCTTCACTAATTTCGTTTCCACATGCTGGACACGCTCAAGGGAGGTAGTATCCTTTACCAGACACGGACTAGCTGCTTGGATACAGTACTCTAAATGTGGTCTAACATATATGGGATATAAAATTCAAAACGTTTCCTCGTCAAAAGATTTGAACGCTCAGCGAAGTGACCATAACGCACGAAAACCTTTGACAGCGGCTGCTTTGCAATGCGTAGATGTTTTTAAATCATGGCTCAATACTACTCTAAATCTTTATGCTGTTGAACGCATAGAAGAGGTTTACCCTCAATAGTATAACGGTAACAACTACCGTAACCGATGTGCATTAGCACACTCTTCATAGGACTGATTTCTAAGACCCAACCTCGAGCCAATCTAACTAACTCGTCTAAGTCAGCTTGAAGATCCAGATGATCAGACTCACTTTTTATTGTTCGCCAGATTTTTACGTCATCCGCAAACAATGATGTCGACGAGCTAAGCAACAGCGGTAACTCATTAACGTAGAGAAGGAAGACCAGAGGGCCTAAGATGGTGCCTTGGGGTACACCACTTTTGACCGGCTTCCAGTCGGATAGCGTCCCGTTGACCCTCACTCTCTGTCTGCAGCCACATAAGAAGTTTCCTATCCACTCCTGTACAGTGCCTAATATTCCGGAGTCCGTGAGCTTCTGCATATGACCTACGTGTGAAACCTTGTCAAATGCTTTGCTAAAATTTATGAATATCACACCGACAGACAGACCGTTATCTAGGGCTGCTGTCCAATCCTCTCTCGCAATAAACAAGTTAGTCAAGCATGAACGCTTGTTACGAAATCCGCGTTGCTCAGGAGCTAACGGATTGTGTAAATTTATGTGACTTAGCAACCTAACCCGAATTATCTTTTCAAGTAACTTAAAGACTATGCAGGTTAGACTGACAGGCCGGTAGTTAGATACTATCTATCTCTGACCGTTCTCAAATATAGGACTGACTAAAGCGTCCTTCCAATCTCTTGGGAGTTGAGCGTGTAGAAGGGACATGTTGAAGAGTGTCGCAAGCGGTTTTGAAATAATGTCCGCAAGAGATGACAGCAACCGTGAATGTAACCCGTCAGGGCCCGGTATCTTACCAGGTTTGAGGTTAGTTATCAACGGAAGGACAGTTTCCCCAGTCACCTGTACAGATTCAATGGTAGGTATCATTGTTTCGATCGTTTATTATGTATCAAGGCTACTGTTTTCACTTTAATTGAATTTATTTTAGTTAAAGTATTTGATTAGAGTATCGGTTCTGTTTCTAAAGTAGTTTGTCGTCGGTGCTTTTGAGTACGTTATTTTCTATTGTATCTGTTAGTACTTTTGGTTCTAACAACATACAGTTCTCCACTATTTTTAGTCATAGATCATTTTTGTCTCTGAGTATTATTGCATCTAGTTCTTTTTTTAAAAAGACCCCTCATTAATGACTGGACAGTGCAAATAAAGCAATTACCAATGTCCGGGCTGTCGTTATCCCGTTCAAAGCGGCATTCAGTGCGATGAGTGTAAAGGCCGGTACCACGAAGTTTGTAAGAATTTAACGCCTGTGGCTTTTAAACGGTTCAGCAAAAACGGTTGCGCATGGCTTTATCAGCAAGGCTGTTCGGATGCAAACGACTTGCTAACCGAGGCCATCTCATTGGTAAATACTGCAAAAAAGTGTTTTGGCAAGCGTGGTCGGGACACATCGGACAGTACTCGCTCTGTCGACACGCGAATCGGTGTGAGGCAAACTCGGATGAGCTCAAAAACAGATGACCCACACCGAACAAAGGAGGTAAAACAGTCTTCAAAGTGGTCTGTCTTAGCTAAAA